GAATACTTCAGGCGAGGTGAGGACCCCCCTCCCCTTGATCACGTGATAGCTCTGTGGGTCGCTGCAGCTCAGAAACAGGAGCCGGCAGAGTAATGAGCAAAGAGCGATAATTATAGTAGTTAGACAATCAAGACTTGAACTGAGTACATAATATGTAACATCCTACCTAACCAAAGGAAGCTAAGTCAAATAACATTATATTTATTTTTTTATTATCACACCGGCCGATTCCCTCCAAGGCAGGGTGGCCCGAAAAAGAAAAACTTTCACCATCATTCACTCCATCACTGTCTTGCCAGAAGGGTGCTTTACACTACAGTTTTTAAACTGCAACATTAACACCCCTCCTTCAGAGTGCAGGCACTGTACTTCCCATCTCCAGGACTCAAGTCCGGCCTGCCGGTTTCCCTGAATCCCTTCATAAATGTTACTTTGCTCACACTCCAACAGCATGTCAAGTATTAAAAACCATTTGTCTCCATTCACTCCTATCAAACACGCTCACGCATGCCTGCTGGAAGTCCAAGCCCCTCGCACACAAAACCTCCTTTACCCCCTCCCTCCAACCCTTCCTAGGCCGACCCCTACCCCGCCTTCCTTCCACTACAGACTGATACACTCTTGAAGTCATTCTGTTTCGCTCCATTCTCTCTACATGTCCGAACCACCTCAACACACCCTTCCTCAGCCCTCTGGACAACAGTTTTGGTAATCCCGCACCTCCTCCTAACTTCCAAACTACGAATTCTCTGCATTATATTCACACCACACATTATATATATTCACGATTTAGCTATTATCGCAAATATAAGCAGTATAAAATTACATGAAAAGATAATAATTATATACACAGTGGACCCCCGGTTAACGATATTTTTTCATTCCAGAAGTATGTTCAGGTGCCAGTACTGACCGAATTTGTTCCCATAAGGAATATTGAGAAGTAGATTAGTCCATTTCAGACCCCCAAACATACACATACAAATCGCACTTACATAAATACACTTACATAATTGGTCGCATTGGGAGGTGATCGTTATGCGGGGGTCCACTGTATACATAATAATCATTGCAACCCATTCAGGGGTTGCAACAGTAGCACACTCCACATTATATCTTATATGGTGTGGATAAATGTTACAGGAGAGTGGGTGCGGGAGGGAAGAAGAGCGATTGGTGGAATGATGTAAAGAGAGCAGTAAGAAAGAAAAAGTTAGCATATGAGAGGTTTTTACAAAGTAGAAGTGATGCAAGGAGGGAAGAGTATATGGAGAAAAAGAGAGAGGTTAAGAGAGTGGTGAAGCAATGTAAAAAGAGAGCAAATGAGAGAGTGGGTGAGATGTTATCAACAGATTTTGTTGAAAATAAGAAAAAGTTTTGGAGTGAGATTAATAAGTTGAGGAAACCTAGAGAACAAATGGATTTGACATTTAAAAATAGGAGAGGAGAGTTATTCAATGGAGAGTTAGAGGTATTGGGAAGATGGAGGGAATATTTTGAGGAATTGTTAAATGTTGATGAAGATAGGGAAGCTGTGATTTCATGCTTAAAACAAGGAGGAATAACATCTTGTAGGAGTGAGGAAGAGCCAGTCGTGAGTGTGGGGGAAGTTCGTGAGGCAGTAGGTAAAATGAAAGGGGGTATGGCAGCCGAGATTGATGGGATAAAGATAGTAATGTTAAAAGCAGGTGGGGATATAGTTTTGGAGTGGTTGGTGCAATTATTTAATAAATGTATGGAAGAGGGTAAGGTACCTAGGGATTGGCAGAGAGCATGCATAGTTCCTTTGTATGAAGGCAAAGGGGATAAAAGAGAGTGCAAAATTATAGGGGGATAAGTCTGTTGAGTATACCTGGTAAAGTGTATGGTAGAGTTATTATTGAAAGAATTAGGAGTAAGATGGAGAATAGTATAGCATATGAACAAGGAGGTTTTAGGAAAGGTAGGAGATGTGTGGACCAGGTGTTTACAGTGAAACATATAGGTGAACAGTATTTAGATATGGGTCAAGAGGTTTTTGTGGCATTTATGGATTCGGAAAAGGCAAGTGACAGGGTGGATAGGGGGGCAATGTGGCAGAGGTTGCAGGTGTATGGTATAGGAGGTAGGTTACTGAAAGCAGTGAAGAGTTTTTATGAGGATAGTGAGGCTCAGGTTAGAGTATGTAGGAGAGAGAGGGAGATTATTTCCCAGTAAAAGTAGGTCTTAGACAAGGATGTGTAATGTCACCGTGGTTGTTCAATATATTTATAGTTGGGGTTGTAAGAGAAGTGAATCCTAGGGTCTTGGCAAGAAGTGTGGGGTTAAAAGATAAAGAATCAAACACAGAGTGGGATTGTCACAGTTGCTCTTTGCTGATGACACTGTGCTTTTGGGAGATTCTGAAGAGAAGTTGCAGAAGTTGGTGGATGAATTTGGTAGGGTATGTAAAAGGAGAAAATTAAAAGTGAATATAGGAAAGACTAAGGTGATGAGGATAATAAAAAGATTAGGTGACAAAAGATTGGATATCAGATTGGAGGGAGAGAGTATGGAGGTGAATGTATTCAGATATTTAGGAGTGGATGTGTCAGCAGATGGGTCTATGAAAGATGAGGTAAATCATTGAATTAATGAGGGGAAAAGGGTGAGTGGTGCACTTAGGAGTCTGTGGAGACAAATAACTTACCTATGAAAGCAAAGAGGGCAATGTATGAAAGTATAGTTGTACCAGCATTCTTGTATGGGTGTGAAGCATGGGTGATGAATGTTGCAGCGAGGAGAAGGCTGGAGGCAGTGGAAATGTCATGTATGAGGGCAATGTGTGGTGTGAATATAATGCAGAGAATTCGTAGTTTGGAAATTGGAAGAAGGTGGGGTTATTGAGGTGGTTCGGACATGTAGAGAGAATGGAACAAAACCGAATGACTTCGAGAGTGTATAAATCTGTAGTGGAAGGAAGGCAGGGTAGGGGGCAGCCTAAGAAGGGTTGGAGGGAGGGGGTAAAGGAGGTTTTGTGTGCGAGGGGCTTGGACTTCCAGCAAGCATGCATGAGTGTACAGTATTTGATAGGAGTGAATGGAGACAAATGGTTTTTAATACTTGACGTGCTGTTGGAGTGTGAGCAAAGTAACATTTATGAAGGGATTCAGGAAAACCGGCAGGCCGGACTTGAGTCCTGGAGATGGGAAGTACAGTGTCTGCACTCTGAAGGATGGGTGTTAATGTTGCAGTTTAAAACTGTAGTGTAAAACACCTTTCTGGCAAGACAGTGATGGATTGAATGATGATGAAAGTTTTTCTTTTTCGGGCCACCCTGCCTTGGTGGGAATCAGCAGTGTGATAAAAGAAAAAAATTGTCTACCCTATAAGTTGCTGTACTTCACTCCAAAACTTAGTTATAATGAAGATAACTTTGTATTGACTTGTACCTGTTTAGCTCAAAGTTTGTTTAGAAGAATCGGAGAAATACTTCAGAAGTCATCAGCAGAATTTACCAAAGTTACAAACGCTTGAGTAAAGTCAACCAAAATTAAAGTCAGGTCTAGAGTCCTGTTAACTAAATTTTAACAGAATGTCTGTAATGCTAGAACTTGAGCAAATTAGTACCAAGAGTCACATATAGACCACATAAAGTTTGTGGTACCCAGACTGGTGAACCAGACCTCAACACTCCTTCTGACCCGGTACTTTCTACCTCGTTTCTTGACTGTCATGTATATCTGTGTCTTGATTTTTACTGTGGATCAAATTTATTTTTTTGTACATTGATTATTCACATTGTCTCTGAGTTGTGAGTTTTAACAGTAGTATCTTGTGTGCACCAAGTCTGTCTTCTCTGTTTAGTAACTTGTTTTGTATATAATTTTCCTCAGAACCTGTACACCTGAATAGTGATCAATCCATCTCCCTCTTTCACTGATCCACCATGTTTCATTATTCACCATGATTCATTGTTCACTATGATTCATTATTCACCATGATTCATTGTTCACTATGATTCATTATTCACTATGATTCATTATTTACTATGATTCATTATACTTTCCTAGAAGTATATGTTCTTGTTGTACAAAATTCTTTACATTGTATAGAAATTGCTGCCTATTGCTCACTGTGTCTGCCACTCTGTCTGTATTGTATTAGTTATCTGCATGACAGGGTCACCATCATGTATGCATGACAGGGTCACCATGATGTATGCATGATAGGGTCACCATGATGTATGCATGACAGGGTCACCATGATGTATCATGATAGGGTCACCATGATGTATGCATGACAGGGTCACCATGATGTATGCATGACAGTCACCATGTATGCATGACAGGGTCACCATCATGTATGCATGACAGGGTCACCATGATGTATGCAAGACAGGGTCACCATGCTGTAGCATGTACTGAGCTGTCATTAGCAATGTACACCAACTTTGTACATCGACATATGGCACCTGCAGTCATTAGTGACAGTTGAGGGTACATGTATAGGGGTCACATCTTGATACCCCTTTCCCAGTGTTTCATATCCTGCTGGCCTGATTGGCCAGTACTGTCAGTCGTGACTTAGCAGGAGTGGAGGTCAGAGGTGTGGCTCCAGGCTTGGAAATATCTCTCAGTAAACACTATGACAGAGCACCAAGACCTACTAATTCCACCGATATCACTTATTCAAGGAACCCCACAGCACAGCAGCCTGGTTAATATGGACCAGCCATGGGGGTGTTGACCCCCAGAACTCCCTCCAGGTATACTCCAGGTACAAGTCATTAAATAAGTCATTTAATTCTACAAAGATATTTTAAGTGTTATGAATGATACAGATTAAATTAACAGTTGACTTATTCGGTTTATAACGGAGGTATAATTTTAAATATTTTGAAATTGTGACTTATTTTATCTTGTAATGCTTTGTAGATTTTAATGATGGATGTAGAAACATCCATTGCATTTGTGGTAGTTGCTGGGGGTTGAGTCACAGCTCCTGGGCCTCAGGATTACTTACATTAAGTCATCTTTCAGGGAGAGAGCAGACATAGTGTTCCTACAAGAACTGGTGCCTAAGACCTTCACCTACTTAGAGAACCTATTGCCACAGTTCGTGTTTGTTGTGGGTGACACCAGAGATTACTTCACTGCTACTCTACTGCGACGTACAACCGTCTACTTTGATGCTCACAATATTGTACCCTTCGAGAACACTGTCATGGGCAGGAATTTATTGTGTGTGGAGGTTAGTGACTGTAATGTTTGTTGTATGTGTAGGTTAGTGACTAATGTTTGTTGTGTGTGTAGGTAAGTAGTGCGCACACACACAACACACACACACAAACAACACACACACAACACACACACACACAAAACACACACACACACACACACACACAACACACACACACCACACACACACACACACACACACACACACACAACACACACACACACACACACACAACACACACACACACACACACACACACACACACACACACACACAACAACACACACACACAACAAAACCCCACACACAACACACACACACACACACACACACACACACACACACACACACACACACACACACACACACACACACACACACACACACACAACACACACAAAACACACACCCCAAAACCCACACACACAACGCACACACTACACTCAAACCCCACCACAAAGTATTAACATTCTTTACAATAAAAAATTACATTTAAAAATACAGTCTTCCTCTGTTATTAATTTAAACATTGTACAATTTTCCCTTTTTTCCCCATTTTTAAACTTTGGGAGTTTTTAAATTATTATTTTTGGGGGAAAAGTACCAGCAATGGACAGAAATTTTTGGGTTTCCCTCAGTAAAGTAAGGGGTAAAAACTTTTTTTACCGTCAGGTTTTTGTCGGGGTAAAAATGTTGTTTCCTCATTTATTCCCGGGGTAATTTAAATTTTACCTTAGGGTTTCTGGATAATAACTGTTGTAAACCCTCGTGTTGGGGTTTAAAACTGTTTTACCATTTAGTGATGTCTGGGATAATAACCCGTTGCAAAAATTTATATTCTGGGTTTTAAAAACTGTTGTACCATCATTTATGTCTGGGATTTTTAACTGTTTAAAGTGATGTTGGGGTAATAACTTTTGTACCATCATGGGGTCTTTTTGGGGAAAAAACTGTTGTACCATCAGTGATGTCTGGGATAATAAAATGTTTGTAAACCCTCAGTTTTTGTCTGGGGGTAAATTTTCTGTTTACCCCTTTAGTGATGTCTTTTGGGTAACTGTTGTACCCTCAGTGAAAGTCTGGGGAAAAAACGTTTTACCAACATTTTGTCTGGGGGTAATAACTGTTTTTTTCCCCTCGTTAGTCCCGGGATATTTTCTTTTGTACCAAACCCCGGAAAGGGGCTGGGGTAAAACCCGTTGTACCATCAGTGATGTCTGGATTTAAAAACTGTTGTACCATCCCGTGATTTCGGGGTTAAAAATGTTGTTTCCATCGTGATGTCTGGGAAAATTAAAAATGTTTTTACCCCAAAGATGTATGGGATAATAACTGTTGTACCCCTCGTGATGTCTGGGATGATAACTGTTGTACCATCAGTGATGTATGGGGTAAAAACTGTTGTACCTTTAGGATTTTCTGGGGTTCTAACGTTGTACCATCAGTGATGCGGGGATAATAATGTTGTGATCATGTTTTTTGGGTAATAACTGTTGTAAACCCTCAGTTATTTTTATAATAACTGTTGTTCCAAACAGTGTGTCGGGTTTAAAAACTGTTGTTTCCTTTAGTAATGTCTGGGATTAAAAACTGTTGTTTAAAAATTTAAAGCTGGGAAAAAAAAAATTAACTGTTTTACCTTTAGTGATTCCCGGGATAACTTTTGTTCCAAACCGTGTTTTTTCGATAAAAAATTTTTTTAACCCCAGTGATGTCTGGGATAATAACTTGTACCATCAGTGATGGTTTTGGGGGGAATAATTGGGTTTTACCATCAAAATGTTTGGGATAATATCTGTTGTACCATCAGTTGATGTCGGGTTTAAAAACGTTTGTACCCTCAGTAATGTCTGGGAAATAGTGTTGGGAACCCTCAGTTAAAGTCCCGGGAAAAATTTAAATTTGGGACCATCATGGGGTCTGGGGGGTTTTTTTTCTTTGTACCAAAAGTGATGTCTTGGGTAAAAACTGTTGTAACCCTCTTTGGGGTGGGATGGATAAATAAATGTTGTACCCTCAGTTAAATTTTTTAAAATAACTGTTTGTACTATCAGTGAGTCTGGGAAAAAACTGTTGTACGATCTTGATGTCTTTAAATAACTTTTGCACCATTTAGTAATGCCGGGGTAAAAACTGTTTTTTACCATCAGTGATGTCTGGGGTAAAAACTGTTGTTTCCATATGGTTCTATGTAAAAACTTTGTACCATCAGTGATGTCGGGATAATAACTGGGTTTTACCATCAATGAAAGTCTGGGATAATAACTGTTGTACCATCATGTGATTCCCGGGGTAAAACTGTTGTTTCCATCATGGGTGTCTATATAATAACTGTTGACCCACAGTAAAAGTCTGGGATAATAACTGTTGCACCATCAGTTTAAAGTTGGCATAAAAACTTTTGTACCATCATGTTTTGGGGTAAAATATGTTGGGGCCCCCTCAGTAAAGCCTGGGGTAATAACCCGTTTTTCCCTCAGTAATGTCTGGGATAATTGGTTTACCATCATTTAAAATTGGGTAAAAAATGTTTTTACTGGGCAGGATGTCTGGGAATAAAATTTTTAATATAAGTATGTCTGGCATAATAACGTTGCAACCAAACATGATGTCCCGGGAAAATTTAACGTTTTTACTGTCAATTTTTGTCTGGGGTAAAATGTTTTTAACCCCTCAAATAAGTTCCCGGGATAAATAAATTTTGTACCATCAGTAATGCTGGGGTAACTGTTGTTCCCGTAATGTCTGGAAATTTTCTGTTTTACCCTTCAGTTTTTTGGGATAATAACTGTTGTACCAAACATAATGTCCGGGGGGGAAAAAAACGTTGAAACCTCAGAAAAATATGGGATAAATGTTTTACCCTCAGTAATGTCTGGGATAACTGGGGTTAACCCTCATTGATGTCTTTGGGGTAATTTTCTGTTTTTACCATCAATGATGCTGGGGGGTAATTTTCTGTTGGGGAACCCTAGAATGCCTGGGTTTAAAAACTGTTGTACCGTCAGTGATGTATGGGGGGAATAACTTTTTACCATCAGTGATGTCTGGGATAATTTAAATGTTGTACCTTTTGTGGGTTATGGGGTTTTAACTGTTGTACCCTTTTTTAATGTCTGGGATAAAACGTTGTACCATCAGTGATGTATGGGGAAAAATAACTGTTGTAAAACCAAAACATGATTTTCTGGGTAATAACTGTTGTTAAACCCTCCCGTGATGCTGGGGTAATAACTTTTGTACCATCTTAAGTCCCGAATTTTAAAACTGTTTTACCTTTAGTGAAGGGTGGGGTAAAAAATGTTTTTACCTTTATGATGTCTGGGATAATACTGTTTTAAACCATAAGTTTGGGGGTTTTTTGTTGTAAACCCTCAGTGATGTCTGGTTAATAACTGTTTTTTCCATAATTTATGCCCGGGATAATTACGTTTTTACCCCGGTAAGTCTGGTATAAAAACTGTTTACCATCAGTAATGTTGGGATTAAAAACTGTTTTTACCGCAGTGATGTCTGGGAAAAAACTGGTTTTTTTCCCTTTCCCTTGTCTGGGATTAAAAACTGTTTGTCCATCAAGGGGTGTCTGGGATAATAACTGTTTTCCATCTTTGTTGTCCTTAATAAATGTTGGAACCCTTTAGTAAAGGGGCTGGGGTAATAATTGTTGTACCATCAGTGGGTGTTTGGGGTAATAAGTTGTACCACAGTAAAATTTTGGGGGTAAAACTGTTGGGCCCATCCTTTATGTCTTGGGTAATAATTTTACCATCAGTGATGTTTTGGGATAATAACTGTTGTCCATCATGATTTCTGGTATAATAACTGTTTATATCAAATGGTCTGGGATAATAACGTTGTACCATCAGGATGTCTGGGGTAATAACGTTGTTTAAACGTAATTTTCGGGGAAAAAAAATGTTGCACCCTCATGATGTCTGGGGGTAAAAACTGTTGTAACCGTCATTTATGTCTGGGTTTAAAACTTTGTACCATCAGTGTTTTCTGTTATAAAAACTGTTGTACCATCAGTGTTTTATGGGATTTAACCGGGGTTTTCCGTCAGTGGTTTTTGGGTAAAAACGTTGGGACCCTCAGTGAGTCTGGCTTTAAATTTCTGTTGCACCCTCAAATGATGTCTGGGATAATAACTTGTACCTTTAGGGGGAAGTCTGGGGGTAATTGGGTTTTGCCCAAACAGTAAAGGGCTGGGATAATAACTGTTGTACCCTCCCTGATGTCGGGGAAAATAACTGTTGCACACAGTGTTGTCTGGGAAAAATATTTGTTTACCACAGTGATGTCTGGGATTAAAAACTTTACCTTAAATGTTCTGGGATAATTAAAATGTTGTCCCCCAGTGTTTTCCCGGGATAAAAAAATGTTGTCCACATGATTTCTGCGTAATTTAAATGTTTTTAAAACCCCAGTGATGTCTTGGATTTTAACTGGGGGGGAAACCCTCGTGATGTCTGGGAAAAAATAACTGTTTGTCCATCAGTAATTTTCCCGGGTTTTTAAAATGTTTTACCATTAATTTTTGGGGGGATAAAAGGTTTTTAAACCCTCAGTAATGTTTTGGGGGTAATTTAAATGTTTGAAACCCTCAGTGATGTCTGGGGATAAAAACTGTTGTAAAATTTCCCAAATAATTTGGGATAATAACTGTTGTACCATCTAATTTTCTGGGATAAATTTTTGTACCATCGTGTTGGGCTGGGATTTAAAAACGTTGTTCCTTTGTGATGTCTGGGGTAAAACTGTTGTGCCCTCAGTTATGGGCTGGGAAATTGTTTTTTTCCATCATTTTATTTTCTGGGGTAATAATGTTGTACCAACATTTAAGCTTGGGGTAAAACTTTTTCCATCATAAAGTCTGGGAAATTTTGTAAAAATCAGGATGTCTGGGGGATAATAACTGTTTTACCCTCAGTGATGTTTTGGGATAATAACTGTTTTACCTTTATAATGTCGTGAAAAAATAACCCCTTTACCATCATTTTTCCCGGGATAAT